AAGCATTTAGTTTTGACCTTACAGCTCAAGATCAATAGCATGACTAATGATTTGAACCTCAGGCATACATTATTTCAGTGAATATTTTAAGTGAATATTTTAACATTATTTCAGTGAATATTTTAAGTGGATATTTTTTACATTATTTCAGTAAATATTTTAAGTGAATATTTTTACATTATGTCAGTGAATATTTTACTTATATAAAGCAAGTCTTTTTGTACTGTTTTATTCGGCAGTATTTCCATTATTCTATGTTTTGATCTAACACGCTGTAGTGGTTGACAGTATCTACACCTGAGAAAGCAGCTCCCACCACCAGGCCAGCCTAGTCACACTGGTTATGTAGTGTTTATAAGCAGTAATACTGAGACAGCAGCTCTCACTACCAGGCCAGCCTAGTCACACTGGTTATGTAGTGTTTATAAGCAGTAATACTGAGACAGCAGCTCTCACCACCAGGCCAGCCTAGTCACACTGGTTATGTAGTGTTCATAAGCAGTAATACTGAGACAGCAGCTCTCACCACCAGGCCAGCCTAGTCACACTGGTTATGTAGTGTTCATAAGCAGTAATACTGAGACAGCAGCTCTCACCACCAGGCCAGCCTAGTCACACTGGTTATGTAGTGTTCATAAGCAGTAATACTGAGACAGCAGCTCTCACCACCAGGCCAGCCTAGTCACACTGGTTATGTAGTGTTTATAAGCAGTAATACTGAGACAGCAGCTCTCACTACCAGGCCAGCCTAGTCACACTGGTTATGTAGTGTTTATAAGCAGTAATACTGTTTATTGATTCATGTTGCCATAGCTACAACTAATCATCTCACACGGCTTGACTGTTTGTTCAGGAGAAGATCCATTGATTGACGACCAGAATGAGCATGACATCAACTCAGTGGCTGGGGTCCTCAAGCTGTATTTCAGGGGCCTGGAGAACCCGCTGTTCCCCAAGGAACGCTTCCTGGACCTCATGTCTACAATCAGTGAGTAATCTAGACTGGTGCCCCCTGTTGGGTGACGTAGTAAATGGGTTCTAGGTAACTGAATTGGTTCCAGGTTCCATCACCACTCCCATCTGCCTGTTAAATACTGGCATTGGGCCCAGATCCCAGTACTTTTGTACCCCCGTCTTTCACCATGGACTTTGGTTCCTTCACAGAGTAGAGGTCAAATCAGACTAGATGTGAAAGGGCTACACCACCCTCCGGCTCCCACCACCTGCAGTGAATTATGGGACAGAAAGGTTTGGGCCAAGAGGCATAGAACACATGGGAACAATATGAACACCACAGCTCTCTGTCGTCCTGGGATTTACTTAAGACCCAATAGACAGGAGAATCTGATCAGTACCAGACCAGTAAACTCAGCACAGCTTGGTCCAATTTGCACCCCAATACTAATATAGGGGTTTTAAATAAGACTGGATCCTCTGTATGACTGTCTACCCCCTGATATGGTCTAGTCATTCTATAAACTCAATATGGTGATGTTATTGATCCTATGTCCTGCCTACCACCTGATGTGGTCGAGTCATTCTATAAACCCAATATATCATGGTGGTGTTATTGATCCTATGTCCTGCCTACCACCTGATATGGTCTAGTCATTATATAAACTCAATATGGTGATGTTATTGATCCTATGTCCTGCCTACCACCTGATATGGTCTAGTCATTCTATAAACTCAATATGGTGGTGTTATTGATCATATGTCCTGCCTAACACCTGATATGGTCTAGTCATTCTATAAACCCAATATATCATGGTGGTGTTATTGATCCTATGTCCTGCCTACCACCTGATGTGGTCTAGTCATTCTATAAACTCAATATGGTGATGTTATTGATCCTATGTCCTGCCTACCACCTGATATGGTCTAGTCATTATATAAACTCAATATGGTGATGTTATTGATCATATGTCCTGCCTACCACCTGATATGGTCTAGTCATTATATAAACTCAATATGGTGATGTTATTGATCCTATGTCCTGCCTACCACCTGATGTGGTCTAGTCATTATATAAACTCAATATGGTGATGTTATTGATCCTATGTCCTGCCTACCACCTGATGTGGTCTAGTCATTATATAAACTCAATATGGTGATGTTATTGATCCTATGTCCTGCCTAACACCTGATATGGTCTAGTCATTATATAAACTCAATATGGTGATGTTATTGATCCTATGTCCTGCCTACCACCTGATATGGTCTAGTCATTATATAAACTCAATATGGTGGTGTTATTGATCCTATGTCCTGCCTACCACCTGATATGGTCTAGTTATTCTATAAACCCAATATATCATGGTGGTGTTATTGATCCTATGTCCTGCCTACCACCTGATATGGTCGAGTCATTCTATAAACTCAATATATCATGGTGGTGTTATTGATCCTATGTCCTGCCTACCACCTGATATGGGCTAGTCATTCTATAAACTCAATATATCATGGTGGTGTTATTGATCCTATGTCCTGCCTACCACCTGATATGGTCGAGTCATTCTATAAACTCAATATATCATGGTGGTGTTATTGATCCTATGTCCTGCCTGCCACCTGATATGGTCTAGTCATTCTATAAACCCAATATATCATGGTGGTGTTATTGATCCTATGTCCTGCCTGCCACCTGATATGGTCTAGTCATTCTATAAACCCAATATATCATGGTGGTGTTATTGATCCTATGTCCTGCCTACCACCTGATATGGTCTAGTCATTCTATAAACTCAATATATCATGGTGGTATTATTGATCCTATGTCCCTCGTGGTAATATGTCATGTCTTTATTTTTTCCCCATTAATCTCTGGGTCTGTAAGTGTCAGGAATCTCTCTGCTCTCCCTCTGTTTACAGAACTAGAATCTGGCGCTGAGAGAGCCCATCACATCCAGCAGATTATTGTGACTCTTCCTCGTACCGTCATCATCGTCATGAGATACCTGTTTGCTTTCCTTAACCAGTAAGTTGCCAAACCAATTCGAGAGTACCAATGAACTGTACCAATGGATGTATAAAGGCATCCGTATATTATATACCTTTGTACACACCTTGATTCACACACAGGAGATAATATTCTCCAGCTCCATGTATGGTGTCTCTGCTGCAGTAGAAAAGACATTTGGTTTCAGAGTGATTGAACCCACATATGCCTCACATTCTATCTATTACAGCGACTACCAGCAGTGCTTTACAAGTTATTTACAAGCCTGTGCGGAAACTCAGCTCTTACCCACTAATATACCTGTCCTGTTTAACTGGGCTGTTATTGATGCTCGCTTTGCTTGGGTCCCCAGCAGTACAAAGACTTGGATTCCGTCTGCTGGCTTTTACCTCTGTGTTTTATACCCCATCGTCTGCTGGCTTTTACCTCTGTGTTTTATATCCCATCAGACAGTTTGGCTGTGGGCCATTTGTAGCTCTTTACTTCTCCACATGTTCACGTGCACTCTGCTCTGATTATGAGCCCCTGTTAAAGCAGATGAGAGCGAGCAGATTGTAGGCCCTGCTACCTAACTTTGATGCTGCTGTTAGGATGCTCTCGTTAAATGAAGATGGCATATAATGATTGCACCTATTAAACATCTGTAAGGCGGGTTAAGGTTGACTGGGTGTGTGGAGATTAGCTGAACAGGGAGTCTGCAGAATGGATTTCAGTTTCCCACAATCACTAGCACACCTAAACTGGTTTTAACAATATACACAAAAACGTTTAGTTGAATTCTAGAAGAACGACCATGAAACCCAACCTACAAGCACTATTCGTACCCGTTTCTACACATATCTCTGTTTCAATTCAGACTCACAAAACTGGTTACAACTTCTGCGAAACTCCCCACAAAATAAACAATCACTTGTGTACTTTCTGTACACTTCAGCATTCTCTGTAGACATAACTAAATAATAATTCATAATGTCTATAATATCACTCAAAGTGCACAATTTATAGGGAATATTCGGATATAACATTTATATAACATTTCTATTCTATATTCTGTTTTCAATTCCTCTGACCTGTGGGCTAATAAGTATTATCATTGTATCGGAGTTGGTATCTCAATGGTATGATGTCCTGGGTTCCTATTGGAGGAGTTGGTATCTCAGTGGTAGAGTGCATGCTCTGTATGTATGATATCCTGGGTTCCTATTGGAGGAGTTGGTATCTCAGTGGTAGAGTGCATGCTCTGTATGTATGATGTCCTGGGTTCCTATTGGAGGAGTTGGTATCTCAGTGGTAGAGTGCATGCTCTGTATGTATGATGTCCTGGGTTCCTATTGGAGGAGTTGGTATCTCAGTGGTAGAGTGCATGCTCTGTATGTATGATATCCTGGGTTCCTATTGGAGGAGTTGGTATCTCAGTGGTAGAGTGCATGCTCTGTATGTATGATATCCTGGGTTCCTATTGGAGGAGTTGGTATCTCAGTGGTAGAGTGCATGCTCTGTATGTATGATGTCCTGGGTTCCTATTGGAGGAGTTGGTATCTCAGTGGTAGAGTGCATGCTCTGTATGTATGATGTCCTGGGTTCCTATTGGAGGAGTTGGTATCTCAGTGGTAGAGTGCATGCTCTGTATGTATGATGTCCTGGGTTCCTATTGGAGGAGTTGGTATCTCAGTGGTAGAGTGCATGCTCTGTATGTATGATGTCCTGGGTTCCTATTGGAGGAGTTGGTATCTCAGTGGTAGAGTGCATGCTCTGTATGTATGATATCCTGGGTTCCTATTGGAGGAGTTGGTATCTCAGTGGTAGAGTGCATGCTCTGTATGTATGATGTTCTGGGTTCCTATTGGAGGAGTTGGTATCTCAGTGGTAGAGTACATGCTCTGTATGTATGATGTTCTGGGTTCCTATTGGAGGAGTTGGTATCTCAGTGGTAGAGTACATGCTCTGTATGTATGATGTTCTGGGTTCCTATTGGAGGAGTTGGTATCTCAGTGGTAGAGTACATGCTCTGTATGTATGATGTCCTGGGTTCCTATTGGAGGAGTTGGTATCTCAGTGGTAGAGTACATGCTCTGTATGTATGATGTCCTGGGTTCGTTCAATCCCCATCTCAGTGGTTTATCTGTGTTTCTCTTCCAGTCTGTCTCAGTACAGTGATGAGAACATGATGGATTCCTATAACCTGGCCATCTGTTTCGGCCCCACTCTGATGCCCATACCTGACGGACAGGACCCTGTGGCCATACAGGCGCACGTCAATGAGGTCATCAAGACCATCATCATTCACAACGAGGTCATCTTCCCCAGCCACCGTGAGTTAGACGGGCCGGTCTATGAGAAGTGTATGACTGGAGGGGAGGAGTACTGGTGAGTATTATCAGATTAGCAGAACGATCACTACTGTAACCCGGTGTTGGTCCGGTACAGACAGACAGTAAGACCTGCTTGGTTTTATGGTGAGACCAGGGGTATTGGAGTGTGTATGGGAGGTGAAGAATAAGACCAGGAGTATTGGAGTGTGTGTGGGAGGTGAAGAATAAGACCAGGGGTATTGGAGTGTGTGTGGGAGGTGAAGAATAAGACCAGGGGTATTGGAGTGTGTGTGGGAGGTGAAGAATAAGACCAGGGGTATTCGGAGTGTGTGGGAGGTGAAGAATAAGACCAGGGGTATTGGAGTGTGTGTGGGAGGTGAAGAATAAGACCAGGGGTATTTGGAGTGTGTGGGAGGTGAAGAATAAGTGCATAAACACTACTAAGGGGCATCATATTAACTGCCGTTCAAGGACACACCATCTGTTGTCTACATCATTTTGTCGGAGGAGAAACGCAAGGGTACATAAAAAACAGATGCTACTTCTAATTTTATCAAGAAGTTGGAAATTGCACTGGATAGTATTTTTAGTAATGAATCAAATGCGCTGAGGTGATCTGTTTGATAATGCGACAGTGGGAAGAAACTGGAGAATTATCATCTATCATCTAATTTCATACATGTGCCTTTATTATTTTTATTAACTTATTTTATTAATGTATTTAGAAGGAGGCCGGGGTATGGGAGAGACTAACTGTACATTCCTCTGTCTCTCTCTCCCTCTCACTCTCTCTCTCTCTCTCTGTCTCTCTCTCTGTCTCTCCCTCTATCTCTCCCTCTCTGCCTCTCTGTTTGCCTCTCTTCCCGTCTGTCTCTCTCTCTCTCCCCCTCTCTCTCTCTCTCCCTCTCTGCCTCTCTGTCTGTCTCTCTCTCTCTGTCTCTCTGTCTCTCTCCCTCTCTCTCTCTCTCCCTCTCTGTCTCTCTGTCTCTCCCTCTCTCCCCCTCTGTCTCTCTGTCTCTCTCTCCCTCTCTCTCTCTCTCTCTCTCTCCCTCTCTGTCTCTCCCTCTCCCCCTCGGTCTCTCTGCCTCTTTGTCTCTTTGTCTCTCTGTCTCTCCACAGTGACAGCCCCCACAGTGAGCCAGGCACCATTGACGAGGCTGACAATGGGACGGAGCCTCACACCAGTGATGATGGTCAGTAACATCTCCTGTAAATAATCAATAATCAATAGTCAATCTGATATCATGCTTATAATTGAATATACTACAATGCCCACTCTCTATGTGTCTGGCTTTCCAGTCACCAGTGGGTCTGCTGTTTACTGCAGTGCTGCAGATCTGTGTGTCTGGACTAGACCTTGGTTATTGAGATCAGACCCAGGAACAGCTATTATACTGTAGCAATGCGGCTCACCTTCAGCTTGGTAAATAGACGAGGCAATTTATGCAATGTGACATTCAGTATGAATGTGGCACTGGTGAGTCAAACCAGAGACACTAATGCATCTATAGACCATGTTCATGTCATAAAGAGGGACATGTTGATCGGAAATGTCAAATATATGGTGTCAGATAAATCATATATTTTATACTGCTGATAGACAGCTGACAGTTGTACCTGTTGCTTTCTACCCAGCAGCAGTGTCAAATGTCGAATGCATGGGTTGAGGGTTTGACCGTGTTTCTTGTCTTGGTCACAGATTCTCAGTTGGATTTAAGCACTTGACATTGACATGTTTAAGGTCATTTTCCTGAACAGAATGAATCCAAATCTATCCCATGTTTTCTTCAAGGAATAATATTTCCTGATGCAGAGAATCATCCCCATAACATGATGCTGCCACCACTGTGCTTTGACAGTTGAGATGCTGTTCTCAGGATTATGTGCTGGGTGCTATTTTGGGTTCAGACCATGTTATCTCGGGGTTATTATTGCAGGATGCCTCCTCGCGCAGCCCTGTAAGACAAACTCCTACAGAGTTATTGGTGTTTTGGTGGCCTCTCTGACTAATGCCCTCCTTGCCCAGACACTCATTTCTTTTTCAACCTGTTCTAGACAGATTCACAGTTGTGCCATATTCCATTCATTTCTGAATAATGGACTTTATTGTGCTCTGGGGCAAATTCAATGGCTCTGAACTGTCCTTATACCTCAGCTCGGTTACTAGCCTGTAGAGCATCTATCCATAGAAAACAATTAAAAAAAATACAATCAAAAAAATAAATAACAAAAATAATTATGTTTAAAACAAATTATAATCATCATATTTTGGAGAGTAAAGGCCTCTAGAGGAAACACTGGCTCATAGACAGATAATTAATATAGGTTATAACACAGGGTTATAAACAGCTGTTAATATACATAGGGGAAACACTGGCTATTGATATTTGGACAGGAGAGATATCGTATGTGCTGGTTGGATGCACAGTATAAATGTGATCTGGAGTGTAAAGCTCTGTAGATAGAGATGCCCTGAGCGCTGACTGACCTTATTCTGTGTGTTCTTCAGACTGATGGAGGGTACTAGACAGAGCTCAGACAGACTGTGACAGCATTGTGCTGTAACAGACTAAATCACGCTTAAAGCTTGTGACAAGGTTCTGTGTACATTCTCGCCAACCCCCACCTCTGTTTCTCTTCCTCACATCATCTCCTGTTCCCATGGGAAGTCGTTCTTTTGCCTTTGTACTTTCCTGTTTCTCAGAGACGCCACAGACCAAAACACGAGTCACAACACCATGGATCCTATCTGCTAGCTCTCAGCTGTAGTGATATGTCAGTAATATGTGTCACTAATGAGTGGCCACACCCCCTCCAGAGCACAGCAGGGAGGGCAGATAGTAGAGTACAGAGCACAGCAGGGGAGGGCAGAGTAGAGTACAGAGCACAGCAGGGGAGGGCAGATAGTAGAGTACAGATCACAGCCAGACAGGGCAGATCGTAGAGTACAGAGCACAGCAGGGGAGGGCAGATAGTAGAGTACAGAGCACAGCAGGGGAGGGCAGAGTAGAGTACAGAGCACAGCAGGGGAGGGCAGATAGTAGAGTACAGAGCACAGCAGGGGAGGGCAGATAGTAGAGTACAGATCACAGCCAGACAGGGCAGATCGTAGAGTACAGAGCACAGCAGGGGAGGGCAGATAGTAGAGCACAGAGCACAGCAGGGGAGGGCAGATAGTAGAGCACAGAGCACAGCAGGGGAGGGCATATACTGGAGTACAGAGCACAGCAGGGAGGGCAGATAGTAGAGCACAGAGCACAGCAGGGGAGGGCAGATAGTAGAGTACAGAGCACAGCAGGGGAGGGCAGATAGTAGAGCACAGAGCACAGCAGGGGAGGGCAGATAGTAGAGCACAGAGCACAGCAGGGGAGGGCAGATAGTAGAGTACAGAGCACAGCAGGGGAGGGCAGATAGTGGAGTACAGAGCACAGCAGGGGAGGGCAGATAGTAGAGTACAGAGCACAGCAGGGGAGGGCAGATAGTGGAGTACAGAGCACAGCAGGGGAGGGCAGATAGTAGAGTACAGAGCACAGCAGGGGAGGGCAGATAGTAGAGTACAGAGCACAGCAGGGGAGGGCAGATAGTAGAGTACAGATCACAGCAGGGGAGGGCTCTTGGCACTGAATTGTGTTGCCCCTTTGTTTAATTAGTGATCAGTAATGAGCCACATGCTTCTGTTTTGGATCTTCTCAGACCTGGGCGATGCATCTCTCAGCAGCAAGGCTTTCACACTGGATCCAAAAACATGCCCCTACAGCTCGTTACTGCTCCACTTTCTTTTCAGGTGTTCATAACAAAAAACTAGAAAAGCCATCGGTCGGCCCACTGTAGTTGGTTGTGGCCGTCACCTTAAATTTATCTGAGCGTTTCTAGTTTGCAGAAAAGACATTTATCCTGAATATTAGTCAGAAATATGTGATCACAAGTATTAATCCTTCACTGCACACAGGCAGACATTCATAATTATGAACATCTGGGCAGACAGATTAGAGGGCTTCTGAAGAATGGAGAAAGCTCCGTTAATTGGAGTCTACAGTTGGAGCAGGGGAGACAAAGAGACAGTATTACCCAGACCTTTTGTGTCTACTCTCCTCCTCCCTCCCTCCTCCTCCCGCTCCTCCCGCTCCTCCTCCTCCTTCCTCCCTCCTCCTTCCTCCTCCCTCCCTCCTCCCTCCCTCCTCCTCCCCCTCCTCCCTCCTCCTCCCCCTCCTCCTCCTCCTCCTTCCTCCTCCCTCCTCCTCCTCCCGCTCCTCCTTCCTTCTCCCTCCCTCCTCCTCCTGCTCCTCCTCCTTCCTCCCCCTCCTCCTCCCGCTCCTCCTCCCTCCTCCTCCCCCTCCACCTCCTCCTCCTCCTTCCTCCTCCCTCCTCCTCCTCCCGCTCCTCCTTCATTCTCCCTCCCTCCTCCTCCTGCTCCTCCTCCTTCCTCCCCCTCCTCCTCCCGCTCCTCCTCCCTCCTCCTCCTCCTCCCTCCTGCTCCTCCTTCCTTCTCCCTCCCTCCTCCTTCCCTCCCTCCTCCTCCCTCCTCCTCCTTCCTCCTCCTCCTTCCCCTCCTTCCTCCTCCCTCCCTCCTCCTCCCCCTCCTCCCTCCTCCTCCCCCTCCACCTCCTCCCTCCTCCTCCTCCTTCCTCCTCCTCCCTCCTCCTCCCGCTCCTCCTCCCTCCTCCTCCCTCCTGCTCCTCCTTCCTTCTCCCTCCCTCCTCCTTCCTCCCTCCTCCTCCCTCCTCCTCCTTCTTCCTTCTCCCTCCCTCCTCCTCCCTCCCTCCTCCCCCCCCTCCCTCCTCCTCCTCCTGCTCCTCCTCCTTCCT